TCTTGAAGCTCTTATGGACTGTTCGCGCTGTGGTTTCGGGAAAAACCCGTTTTCTCCCCATTTTCCGCGGATTTTCTTACTTTCTTTGTCGAAAAAATGTAAATATGGGCGGGTTTTAATCAAATATACGTGAATTTCTCTAAACGAATTTTCGCACCCTCGGGACAAAAACCGAAGAAATCTGTGAAAAAATTGAGAAAAAGCAGATTTTTTCGAAACATTAAAAATTTTGTACGCTTCAATTATTAATTACTTCGATTATTAAGTTCGTAGAAATGCTGAAAACGATTTATTTTGACGTTAAACACAGCGAAAATCGAAATTTAAGACATCGCGGTGACATCAAAATTGGAATAAATTATATTCTTATAATTGGATCTATTTTGCTATCTCCTATTGCAGAATTACAGGTTTAACACAAGGCTAACATTTCGACATGGAAAAACAAGGTGAAGAGAAATTAGGCGGTAAATCCGGGGAAACTTCAATTTTTCAGGAAACGCTACAATAAAGAACCAATCGATAATTCGGAGGGAAAAGTGCTAACTTGAAACTTCGCTTCCTTCATCCATCTCCTCTTCCCTTCTCTTTCTCTCCATCAGTCTTTCCCGTCTGTCTGAAAGGCCTTGGCGCGCGCAAAATTGAAGCATGAGTGTACCATGCGAGTAACACTTCGCGGCGTTCGTCGTCGAAAGGTGAAGAAGGAAGCTGGTTATTTTTAACGGCTAACTTCCGAGAGCGAGTGCGTTATTCACGTACTGAATGGCCCGACGCAATAAGAAGACGCGAAAGGATACCGCGCGCGGCTCTCCTCTAATTCATGCTAATTTCGGGGCGGAAACTTTTTGCATCGCTTAATTCAATTAGTTCCGCTCTTTGAATGCGGCAATTAGCATATTAACTCGACTATGCGAACCTCTCGAGCCGGTGTGTACGACGCCCGCGTGTACAAAGTCGCGGCCTTTTCGCGCTTTTACACGTTTCTCCCTCTTTTTCTCCTCCATCTCATCATTATTCATCCGTTCGTCCCGACCCGTTACGACGAGGAATCGTAAATTAGCACTTCTCACTGCGAGAACGTTATCGCGATTCGAAAAAAACAACGAGACGCGCGCGAGTCCGGAATTCAATTGATTACGGAACCGCGTTCGACGTCGTTCGTCTGCGCGCGCGAATCTGCATAATCGAGTTTTCGAATTTCGAGGGTGGACGCCGCCTTTAATTGAATCGGCCACTCTCTGTCGTCAAGAAGGTCAACGTGTCAATCTCCGACGCAGGCGGCGGCATAATTAATCCCGATTAAAAGTAAAAAAGTACAGAGAGCGTACTCGACAAAGCGAAAGAGATAAACAGTGAGATAAATTCGCTACTGCAGCAACGTAATCGCATATAAATGCGTAATCGTAAATAAATGCGATTTATTATTATCATCATCATTATTATTCATTTAATAAGCAGGAAATTAAATATCCCTTTTGGAACAAAAATCCATAGGTAACAATATTTATATGCACAGCATGAAAACAAGGAGCGAAATTTCAAGTTAACTCAAAGTAAAAGTTTTGTTATCTCAATTCTAAGGAAGTCGTGAGATATATTGAAGAAAATCTATTGATTCGGATCGATTTAGCTGTAGTTTTGCATTGATATTCTTAGTAAGATTATCTAGTCTTTGTCGTAGGATTTTTTTGATATCAATTATGGTCTTTATAAAGAAAGAGAGGAGAAAATCTTGGCGAAAAGACCGAACTTTTGGCTTCGAACGTTAATAACTTCATTAAAAATTAATATTTAAAAAATCGGTTTCGACCAACCCGTGCCAATAGTTTAAGATCCGCAACCAACCTTCTATTAGCGAGGAACAGGAGTCCCAGAATTGCGATGTTATCGTTATCGTGGTTATTCTCTTGATTCGTGAAGCCGAATCAATTACAGGGACAGCGACGGGATCCTTAGGGGATCCACTCGCGGATAACTCGGCGAGATCGATCCCCGAAGAGCCGCGAGATAAAGAGAAGTCCGAAGCGAGACAAGATCGATGCTCAAGCGAGCGGAGAGCCAAAAGTTGCCGAACTAAACTCTCCTCGTCGGCGTGCTCATCCCCGGAAACGGCGAACGGACGTAATAACTGATCGCCCCTACAACTTCTTCGGCGAGAGCACTCTCTTTTCAAGGCCGTCGCCGCCGCCGGCGTTGTCGGAAAGCCTTCCACGGCTGTCCGGATGAATAACGCGAGCGAGCGCATTTGTGCGCCCTTCGGAAAACGTTACACGCTCGCGCCGCAATAAGTCGCACGATAAAATTGGCGCGCGGCCGGATCGAGAGAGACACGACGTTTGAAGGGAATAATTAACGTCGCACCAGCGGAATGAGAGCGCGGACATAGCGACGCTCTGTCTCGCGCGGACAGTTAATCGGATGTTGAATGCCTGGCGTCTCGCTTGACGTAAATCGCGATCTCACGGATTCGCAGAAATATTTGCAAAGAGATACGCGTTCGTGTAGCTCACGATATCGGATTTAATGAAAATTTGAAGACCAGCTTAATCGAAGCTTGTGTCCGATTTTATTAAATTGGAATCGCATTGTAGAACGAAGAGTCATCGTTGAAGAAACGTGTCAAAATTCGGGGGAATTCGAATGGAAACGAGAGCGAAATTAAATTAAAAGTGGAATTAACATGGATCGGAGCTGAATTTTTGCAATAATATTTCACGCAATGGAAGTTGTTACATTCTAATCTAAATACGCCCGCCGGCTTTAGAATTGCCAGACTATAAATCGATGATCTTATCTAAAAAGAGTGCTGTCTCAACGTCTCGAGATAGATCGTAATAGAATTTTTGCAACAATGACAGAAGGTTTATTACATCCTAAGCTATGCCCACCGATTTTAGAGTTGTTCAACTCTATAAATCGGTGGCTTTTATCGAGAAAAAAAAAAGGTGAGAGTTGTCCTAATGTCCCGAGATAAAAGCTGTTGCGACTGTATGTCGCTGACCGGCGCTAAAGGTTATCCGCAAGGATCATTAATCGAAGGGATTTTCCCTGCCTGAGGCTTATCCGACGTGTTATCGCACGAGCTACGAAATTTTGGCGTGGATGCAGGGGGTAACAGCGGGGCGACATTTTCTCTCGGCTTCTCTCATATGCGCGAGAAATGTCGACCGTATAATTTCGGCTCAATCGGGGACTGATAATTCTCACATGGCGATATTTCTGGCCGGAAAAACGGCTCGTTGGAAAGTCATTAAAATCGGGCAAATTGAATCGCCTACGTGAAATTGTTATATCCGGTGATTTTTCTTGTTTTTGTTTGTTTTTTTTCGCCTCCCGGGATACGCTCGTCGCCGGAATGAAATTGCATTTCGCGGCTATCGAGTCGGAACGAAGCCTCGTGTGTAATGATAACGAACGGCGACGAGCGTGCGTTAAACTCTGCGTGAAAGTTGTTTAGTGCGTCGTCAAATAAAATTCATTTCGCGGCGATTCGGAATCGTTTAAAATCCCCTCGGTAAATTACCTCTCATCATTACATCGCGTATGCGCGAGAGAGCTTCGTATAAAACACTTTAATAAGAAAGGGAATAAATTGCCTCCCGCTGTTTCCCGCGCTGCGAGCGCGTACTGTTTATCGCCGGCGACGCGAGAGTGATCGTCGAATACGTCGTGCGATGAAAATTGAATTGTGCAAATGTTAATATAAAAATTAATTGGGGCGTACCTCAAGTTTGTAATTATTCTAAGTAAGCATGCCCCAAAATGGCCCTGCCAAATTGGGCTTAGGTATGGCCAAGAAAGGCCATGCAAGTTTCGAATGACATTTCGTGAAAAGGCTCTGAATAGACGCATGGAAAGAAAATTAGTCTGAAATCAATGGCAGGTATTCTCATATATAAGAATATATGTAGTAATATATGGTCAGCTAATTTCTCTTTTGTTAAAGTGTTAAAGTGGAGAAAAATTATATAGAGTCTTCCCAGATCGGCCATTGCTGACGCGCAGCAATCTCATCCGATCGCGCTTCACCCGGAAAAAATGTCCACTCCCTCTGGTCCGATCTCACCCCTGCGAGGAGGAAACCCTTCGTAACTGGCGTAAATGTGCCGCGCCAGCGGAGAGGGAGGAGAGGGAAAGAGGGTCGGTTAAATACATGCAAATGTGATTTCATATGACGACATCGCGAAGGAGTTTAATATCTGCCGCGTTTTACAAAGTCGCCGTGAACGAGAGAGAATGAGAGAGAATAGGAAAGGGTGAGGGTCAAATGAATTTCATTAACTCGTTAGATTTACCGTCGTTGTCATCGTCGCAAAACATCGTTAATTTCAGAGTAATCGCTGTATCGGCGCGTGCGGCGAATATCCTCTCCCACTTTCTCTCTCTCTCGCTCTCTCTCTCTCTCTTTCTCTCTCTTGCTCTCTCCGTTTTCTCTGACGACGGCGGAGAGAGAAAGCACGCGATCCAATTTACTATGGAAATCCTACGCCGCACCCCCTATCGAGAAAATCAATTACGTCGAATGAATACAACATGAAGGGCATAAAGGGTTAGCCGCGAGAGTGCCGCGACCGGTAACCGGAGCCGAACACTACGGGATCGGACGTGGCCCGATGAGAGGGTAAGCTCGGACAGATCTGATTTGTCAGGAGGCAAGAATCGCCGCCGACTAATCTCGTTGCGATCAGAGCCCGAGAGTTTCCGTGGGTCGCATTCGTGAAGATTCTCGATCATCCGCCGAAGAGGCAGAGAAAAGAAAGGTCTATCTTTTACAGACAATTGAAAAAAAATGGACGGTTTTGGTAGACTGTACTTTTTTTCAACAAAAGTTTCCGATCAGTGAATTCGCTTCCGAGAATGAAACTATTCGTTTGTCATTTACTTACTTCGTTGAGTAGTAGGATAATTAATGGCCTTTCTGTATTGTTATCACGAGTAATTCGCGGAAGTTCTCCTCCGGAGCTATTGCTAAAACAGCGCGGTAAAGCTGTGTCACTCACCTTGGCGGGATCTGACTTCTCCGACTGCTCGTTGAAAGTCTGCGAACCCCTCGACATGGTGTTCCTGCGTGGTGTCGTCGTGCCATCTTGCGAGGGGCGAACAAACTCGATTCTACCACCCTCGACGACAATATTGGGGGCTGGTGGAAAATTCTCTGCGTTACCGACTGTATCGCAGTAGCCCAAAAAGCCCGCTTTCTCCCCGTACAAGGGGTGGATTTGCCTGCAACAGAGGGTAAAAGCTCGGCTAAAGAACGCCACAACGACAGATGGTGCTTTCGTGCTGCTTCCGGAGGAGGGTCTGCAGTCCACCGGAGCAGCTTTCGCGATTGTTGCGATACCCGACGCAATATTGCTCAAATACGACTCCACTTTCTTCCTTATTAAACGTGGAATAACCAAAAGACATCGCCGTTATCGTACGATTAAAATTTAATGACTGTTTCTCTTTTCGAAAATCACTCAAAATTCGTTCACCAACTTAACTCTCTCGAGTCTTGTGGGATTATACGTCTCACTTGGCGGTATTAATTTCTTCTTTAATTTGGTTTCTTTTTGTTATATTTATGTTCTGCTATTTCTTTTTCTTACGGGATTTATAAATCCAGTTTTTAATGGAAATGCAATTAAGTATAACTGTTCTGAAAAGTAGTAGACAGAATACATGGAGGCACATGAGAAACCAAAACATGAACGTTGTGGTACCATTTAAATATTAATATTGTCAATATTAATATATCTGTGGGAAGATATGAAAATGTTCATTGTTTATCTCGCACGTACCGAAGAATTTTTCAGACAGACGGACGCGGCGAATCAGCTGTATAAACCAACCCTCGAGTCCCAGTAATATAATTTTATATATTAAATACCCCCGAAACCTTCTCTAATTAATAAATTAAATGAAAATTTATTTTCTTATTCCATTTAATATGTTGCGAAACATACTGCCTCAGCTAGGAGTCGGATATGAACCTCCCCAATTCATCCACCGAGGAAATGTAATTGTTAATCTAATTGTTGAACATATGTATCAAAAAAATATATCTTTCAATGTAATTTGTTTATTTTTAAATAATTTTCACCTCAAAAACTGATGTCGTTTTTGAATAAAGAAAACCGAGCAGTTTGAAAAAGTTAATGCTACATCCACATGATTTTTTACAAATTTTTAAATGCCATTCCGCGTCTCAAAAATAAAGTAAAGAAGAATAAAGTTGCAAATTTGAAGAATAAAGTTGCAAATTTGAAGAATAAACGATAGGGAACGCTAATAAATGTCTCGGGACACTTTCCCTAACTAACGATACAAGAAAACTATTGTATATAAAAGGTTCAATTAGATAAGTGACACGAGATTCGGAGGAAAAATTAATTGACGCTTGAGAAATAAATTGATATGAATGAAGCATTAATTAACGGTCCTGGGAGACTTCCTGCGACGACTCTAATTAGATAAGCGACGTGAACGGTCGCGTGGGCGCATCACGTGCGCCCTCGTCGTCGTCGTGTTCTCGCCGAGACAATGCCCGCGAAATTTTCTCAGACGAATCTCTCTCGCGCGCTCAATTCTCGCGTAGCTCGTCGAACACGACGTCGCGACGTTAGGTCGCACGAGACATCGCGATGTCTTGAATCGCGAGTTTCGTCGTCACCGCGAGATTACGAGAAGGAGAGAGAGAGAGAGAGAGAAGACAAGGTTGATGCGCACGTACGTCAAGCGCAAACGTGTCTGCCCCGAAGGATTAATAAAGAGCTCTCTTCGCACGCACGCACGCACGCACGACTGATCGAACAAATGAACGAACCGTAGGAGTTCGAGAACTCGCAGAGAAAATATACCGGAAACGCGAGATTGTCGAGCTGGGACTTTTCGCTTATTAGGCGACTGCTAAGTCTACTACAGTTTTAAAGTTTCGGCAAAAAAAAAACCGTTTTTCCTCATTTTCCGCGGATTTCTTTGTTTTCTGTCCCAAGGGTACAAAAATTCGTTCATAAAAATTCACGTGTGTTCAGTTAAAACTTGCTATGTTTACTTTTTTCAATAAAGAAGATAAGAAACCAAAAATATCGGCGTAAAAACAGGGGGAAACGGGATAATTCGGAAACTTTAAAACTATACAAGCTACCCAATAGATACCCTATTCTGTAACTTTGAACGACGTGTCGTTGTCGTCAAGTTGTCATCACGCAGGTGTGACATGTACAGTAGAAGCTTTGACTATAGAATATATGGACTGCTACTAGCTAATTTCAGACTGGTAGCCAAGATGTGTCGTGTCACCATCGACCAATTGAGGAATACTAGAACTAAAATTCCGTCATTTGTCGAATGTATGCAGAGAATAGCCATCCACAGCAATTCATTTTATTATTCATTTTTATTATTGAAACAGTGAAATACAACAAGAATTAAAAGTTTTTAAAACTAGTGGTATACTGTATTGCACAATACTGCCAAACTATAAAATATCAAGTAAAAAGAAAAGGTAAGATCTTCTGTGCCTTATTAAGGGTAACCCAAGCTATCTACCCCAATCATTTATATTTTATATCTGTAAGGATTAAATCATTATTATTTCATAATTTAGTGTCTCAAATTAATAAAAAAAATCTACTCAATTAATTACAATTTTTATTTACATATTTCATATTATTAAGCACAGAATACAAAATATATTTCATTACGATTGGTACATCTTAAGATATATTAATATTTCCCAGTCTTTAGTCGACGGGGCGGGACTTAAATCTCGTTGGATACATTTCTCAGCACAGCGATGAATGAGAAGAGTGAAGTGTGGACTGGCGGTCCACGCTTCACTCTTGTAGTCAAAGAATAGAAAAGCTGCGTGTCGACGACGTAACGAGAAAGACATCGTCGTTAAAAGTCGCAGAAAGGAGCTACAGGCGCTCCACTTCTTATCCTCCTGTGACGGATCTTAATTGTCGCGATGATCTATTCCCCGCATGATCGCCCACAGGACGAACGGACGAAAACGCTTTACACGCCCCATTATCTAATTACATTTCGCAATTAGTTCACGTAAGCGGCCAACGGCCCCGGATCGGCTCGCGTGCATTCTAGCACGACGCCGACGGTGTGTGTCATTGTGCAAGCGGAAAAGTGACCGACTTTAAGCGCGCTTGACAAAGGCGATTCGCTCGACAATTCTCTCGCGGCGTGTCGGCGCGCCGCAGACGCGGTGACCGATATTGCATGGACAGATGCATTTGCGTATCAATGTCAATAATCTCGAAACGGAGGAGGAGCAGCAGGCGCGTCGACGGCGGCGGAATTACAGAGCAGGAACCAAGTGTCGCTCCACTTTTGACGATTATATTACCCGGCCCTTCGAAAGTCCATCTAGCTTTTACGTCTCTCTCTCTCTCTCTCTCTCTCTCTCGCCTTTTCGCGCGACGAGTACGCAAATGTGTAAAACATCACACGCACGCGCGCCGCTTTGAAAACGTGCGATCCATAAAGACGTGCAAGTGATTGCCGGGGCTCGAACACGAGACTTTGAAGATCGAGGGAGGAAGGTGGAAGCGACGTTCATTCGTCGTGTCTGATTGTCATCGCATCTTGGACGGAAACGCGTGCTTCCGTCACTATCGCGCTCTCGCAAAGAGGAAGAGGATTCTTTTTGGCACACGACTGTCCGAGCATAAATCCACGAGTTTGGCAAACGAATCGATATGAATGGAGCGTTAATTAATATCCCTATTTTCACTGTCAATATAAAAGAAAAGCAAGAAAATTATGCGAAACGTGAGGAAATTTGGTACGAAGGATACAATCAGATAAGAGACACCATTCAGATGAGTTAACCAATTAAAGCTCATAGTTCGAACGGTGAGGTTAGCAAGAAAACAATAATTGGAAATAGAACCGGAGCGTGAAAAAAACATTTCTGATATAAAAAGTATATTGCAAAAAAGTCTGCAACAAATTGTTATTTTGCGACAAATTATTCAATATTGACTGTGGAAAAAAACCGATCAAGCCGATAAATTCCATAGAAAAAATAATAAAAGAAACACGTATAATCTTTTCTCATATCGTTTTTCGTTTATACAAAAAGAGAAAAATAGATATCACGGTTTATTGAATCTTGTTATAGTGCATACCTAGACAAAGTAAGGTTAGTAAAAAAAACAGTAATTGGAAATATAAAAGACTGGAGCGTGAAAAAAATATTTCCGACACAAAAATCAATTTTGCAACAAATTGTTATAAAAACCGCGATATTAATTTGTTTTTCTGCACAAATAAAGAATGATATGAGAAAAAGTCATACGTGTTTCTCTTGTAACTTTTCCCGTAGAATCTTTGGGCCTAGTCAGTTTCCTTCTGCAATCAATAATTAACAATTTATTTATAATAATTGGTTGCAAAATTGATTTCTGTAATGTGTTTTTTATGTCAGAAATATTTTTTCACGCTCCGATCCTATTTCCAATTATTGCCATTTTGCTAACTTCACCGGTTTAGTCATGGACTTTAATAGGTTAATTGATGAAAAAAGTATGCTCGAATCATGTTCTCATGTTCTCAAGAGAGACGATGCATATTCGCGGCAGTGCTTTTTGCACGGGACCTGCAGCACATTAACGCGCCACTTAGCGCGCTACGTGCGCGCGTAATCGTGGCAACGCTCCAGTATCAATGAACTTACCTGGGCGATGGTATGGGGCGAGGCTTGTCGAGCGCCAGATCCGAGCTGAGGGGCGAGTCGGGTCCGCGGCCGCTGGAAGCCCTAAAACAAACGGAATTATCGTTAGTTAAATTAGTATTCGGAAGCCAGTGGCTTATCTAGGTCTCTCTTACGTCTATCGTCGGGGTTCAATATCCTGCGACGATTAATCGGGCGATACATGAGCGCGATAATGTTGCGACAGATCTTTACGATTTTTTCACTATTTCACAATGAGATATTCGGTAGCACAGCAAATAATAAGCGTGCAAAATCGTCAGGACATCTTATCAATCTTCGCACGTGATCGAAAGTCTCCTCAGAATATACTTAGATTAGAATATGAATATATTATATTATATATATATTGTATTATTATTATAACTATTTATTTCTAAACAAATGGCCCATTTCTTAATCGTAAAAGTAATATTTTAACGTTATTTTTTAATTTTATTTATGAAATCATTTTAATTATAAAGAAGAACCGAAATGAAGGACAAGAAAAATTACATAGTTTTGATAATTACAATTTAAAAGATTATAATTATAAAAATATATTTATACATATCTTTATCTTTTTCATAACTGTAATTTGAAATTAGGAAAATATCCGAAGAACGTTATAAAAAATAACGTTATCTTTATCGTCACTTTCGTCGGTTATTTGCCTTTTCATGTCGATTAATCATCATTTATCAATTAGCCATTCCGATTTGCTGCTCCCTATCATCTCCGAGGAAGCGCCGTCCGTGTGCTGCGCACTTTCCATTTCGCCTGACAACGTAATCGCGGCTCCTCCGACGAGACCGAGTGCAGCCGGTTCCTGCTCGAACGTTCACGCCGGCTGATAAATGATTAGAGAGAGGACCGTTAGATTCGCGCCCATAAATTCCACGAGTCCCGGAGACGCGCGAATCCGCTCTTCTCGCGGCGGGGAGTCTCGCGCGAAAGGCGACCGCGATGAAAAGTCGCGCCGTTCCGCCGTTGCGTAAGGGAGCATCGCGATGCACCTCGCGACTCAGATATTCGTGTTTCCGGCCGGCGCAGCTTGCTTCAACCTCTCGACCCGAGTTCTATTCGAATAAGGTCAATAATAATTCAACGCCGGCACACGTGTGTGATATAAATTTGCAAGTCAGACCGCGACGCGCGATTCGACAACACGATAACAGAGCGCTAAATAGCCGCGACGGCGGCATCGCGGTGTCGCGGAAATGAAATCGACATTTGTTTTTGAAACAGTCTTTGAATCTCGCAGCACAGCAGGAGCCAAGATAGTAAAGTAGGTTCAATTTCAATCATAGTAATATCATTTATCCTTACTTTCACGGGCATAGCCAGGATTTCTGTCGGGGGGAGGGAGCGATCGGCGTCCCGTGCTTTGCAACACGCTGCGTTTTTGTCGCGACGATGTTCCCGCAAAAGCGGATTAGGTAACAATGACAGGCCGGAATGCAACAACGATGACGACGGCAGCGGAACGTCGCCTCGCCGCTTATGCGGATCGACGGCGGCGGCGGTGTTTTTGCCCTCCTCCCCGGTCGCACTTCCGCTCGCAAATCCTCGGACCGCCGCATTTGGAGCTCTTGGCAGCCGCTCAGACGTTCGCGATGAAATATCTAGCACGGGTGACTTTGATCTTCCACGGCGCGCACGAAGCGACGTAGATGCGCGCGCGTGCGTGAGCGCTCACACCCGCGCTCGCAAATGCTCGCACATCACGCTCTGGGAACCAGGAAGTCCCACCGCGAGTGAGATGTCTCGATACCGGGTGTCGGGTGTCAACGGATACGCCCGTGACGAAATTTCCGGCCGCCGCGGAAGATACGATCTGAATTTAGACAGATGCAACGTGTCGTGTCAGGACGATAGGACGTATTAAAAAATTAGCCCTGAGGGGACCCGTTCTGTTCTACTGTAAATTTCTTGCCGGTAACTAGACTCGTTAATGGCTGCGAAAAATTAACAATCCTTTTATACAACTACAAGACGCGTTAACGCAAGGACGGTCTTGACTTTCGAGAGAAAAATCTGCTAAAAAGATTATAATATTCTTGCTTATACAGGGTGTTCCAAACCGTTCGCATGCGACACAGGACTGTGCGCTGAAAAGAAACACGCCTCTCGCTTGATACCCATCGTTGCTAGGAGACTTTCAGAAGTAAGCCCAAAATTATTTTTTTTATACAGTATCCGATCCTACTCTTTACCGGGAGTTCATTAGCTCAGACAAAATAATTAATTACTCACAAACTATTGTGATTTTTGTGATATGGTACGTGACTTTTCTGTTCACCCGTTCTACCTGCACACCATAGGAACCGACTGCTCTTGACTTTTTCAATAAACCCCTGGAATTTTTTTTTTTAATATAGTTTAATCCGGGTCCTTTCATCAAATTGAGTAATCGCGCGTAAAAAGAAAAAAAAACCTTTTCTTTTTCTTGTATGCCATTCGTTTACTGGAACTATATTTATGTTATTTCCCCCGTCTTTAAATTTGCACACCACAAAAACATATTCCCGTGAATTGAACAAATAAGTCAATCAATCAATCAATTTCGGCCGGAATGTTTCTTGATTGAAATACAGACCGGAATTCGTATTCCGTTTAAATTTCGGAGAAAGAAAAACATTTCTAAAATCTTTTAAACACACATACGTGTGTTATTACGAACGATCATCCCCTACGTTTTCCCGATGACAACGCGCCTATCGTAATATTTTCAAACGAAGCCGTCGTCGTCGCTGGCGCACAGCGTGGCTGTGTACTTTCTCCGTCGATCGAAAATCGAACGGGAACGCGTGGGAGAGAGCTAATTGATTCGCCTCGAGGCCGGACACCCGATATAAGCGTCGTTCGCAACGGAGGACACGCGCGCGCGACAGCTGCGTCCATATGGGAGGCGCAGCGAAATTCGCGTTGACCCTCTTCCTCGCATTCTCACGTGGGACGGTCGGTCGGTAGGGTGAATCACCCTCGCTGAAATTCTAAAAGCGCCTGTTTCCCAAAAGTCTATTACGGAGCACTTAGAATCATGCAGAGCGCGGTATTTTCTGTCGTCCGGCAGGCTGGCCTGAGCCACGACCGCGTTCGCATCGCTGTGATCGTTGTACCCGGTGCACGTTGCTTGGCAAGCTACCTAAAAGTGCTCTGGCCGTAATTTACCAATTTGTTGATATTCGATGGGACCTCCCTCCCCCTCTCTATCTCTCGAAAGAACCGGCAGATGAGCGAAGAGAACGAATGGAAAAGTGCAACGGTAAATTTTTTTCCTCGTCTTCACGCGTCTCTCTCTCTCCTTCTCGTTGCAGCTGATAGGTGTGATCTATGATTCCCTAAGTTTCCCAACGTCGTATAATAGCGGAAATATTCGTTAAAGCCGAGCTAGCTTTTCCTCTATAATATTTCATTCCGCGTTCGATCAATTTCGACGGATAGAATATTCTTTTAAATCGAATCGGAGGAAGTGCCACTGATTGAATCAGTAAAACGATAGACGCTCGTGCTGAGTGAGCTCTTTTATCTGATTGGTTATATTTTTAAAACTAAAAAAATATGTCAATCAAAGAGCTGAATGTTCAATAAGCGGTAATACTGGATGCATCCAGGATTTTATCGATAATCAGTGAGTATTCGTTCACTGAAAGAAAAAAAGTGTAGTATTCAAGTAAATATTTACTAAGAAATATCGGAGTAATTATTTTACTCATATTAAATATAATGTAGTCGCTGCTAACCAAATTCTGCAGCGAAATTTCACTAATTTACCGTATTTATATTTATAACTATATCTACCATGACTATCGACTGCTTCTCAATAACATACGCTGATTGTACTTTAGAGAGTATGTCCGAAAAAATCTCGAGTCTTGGAAGATGTGTTTTTCATGTTCCTCTTCACTCTTCTTTTCCCCGAGATTGCACTCTTTCCCGAGCGAATCGACCGAACGCGAAAAATCGCTGCCTCAACTTTCACCGTGCGGAACAGAAACTCGAGCTCTTTTCTGAAACTCTTCCGCAAATGTTGGCCGACCTTTCATCTCTCTCTCTCTCTCTCTCTCGGTGTCTCGCAGTAAGAGCAACGCGCGCGCAACGGCCGAGCAATTCCGCGCGAAACGTGCAGCAGCACTTAGCCGCGCCGTTTATCCTCTTTTTCAGCGACGCAATTCGCTCTCTTGTAACTTCGCTCAATTGCTAGATCGTTAAGTCGTAACCGAGGGACAAAAGGGGGGGGGGAGAGGGAGCGTGCGCGAGAACGCGAGAAAGAGGGAAGGAGAGCCGCGCGGAAAATAGCGTGAGGAGCGCAATCTCGGATCTCGCGAGCGTTGCGAATTGAAACAGAAATCCTCCGTCGTCGTCGTTCTCATCCTCACCGCCGCCGACGACGCAAGGGAGACTCCTTCGCGCTCGAGAAACCTAATTCGTCGTCGCGAGCCGCTTTTACTCCGCACGTGTCGTAAAAATTTCGACGTAACGTCTCTCGACGAGGCGACGACCTCGGAATACGCGACTGCCACGGCGGAGCGAGTTATTTCGCACTCGCCGGTTCGCCTGACATTCCGCCACGGGAGTAAAAACGACGGAAGACGGAGAAGCGGGCTCTCTCGCCTTTGAAGAGCAACAAACGGAAAAATAAAATCGCGCGCGCGGCCGTCGACAAAAGTGCCGGCTCACGTAAGCTCGTAGAGACCCAGCTTGGCTCGCGCTCGTCGTGGAAGCCGGCAGCCAGCGGGTCGCGGACTCGACGATTCGCGAGCAGCCATAATTACATTCACGAACAAGCCGCTCCTGTTGCTCCCGTTTAGCCGAGAGAGCCACGGCGACGAAATACCGACGATTTCTGCACGCGAGCGCAAATTGAAATCCACCATAACCGGAGGCCACTTAACGGCGAGTATTAAACGCGCCGGCGTTTAATCAGCCCTTAAATGAAAAGCAAAGGCCCCTTTGAAGCGGAAATTAATGAAAAGTCTCCCGAGCAGGAAACAACTCGCCGAAGCGAGCCGCAACGATGTATCATCTTTTGACGAAGAAAGAGAGATCTAGACGCGCACGTG